CTTTGTTAACAAGCTTTCAAGGCATTTACATTCTATTCACCCATGTCGTTCACAGTATCATCTGTATCTTAATAGCTCATATCCCCCCTTGTCATTAACTGTAACAAAACGAAAGAGTATAGCAATGGCGGCTTGGCACCTATCAACTGACCTATAGGAAGGTCTGCAGGTTCATCCATACTGGCGGGTTCACAACGAAATTTCTTCATGGACTTCATGGAATGAATCCCGACGACAGGTTTGCGGCCGAAAGATCGGTTGTCGTGAACCTTGATATTCATTGGTGGGGTGTACAACTCTTCCTTAGGCAGGTACTGTAAACACAAAAATAACGAGGTGCTGTGAAAAATATGCAACACACGGATTCCGTTCCGTATAATATAAGGTGTCGGATGCTACGCGCTCTTTGATAAAACGTCGCCAATGACGTATCAGAGCATAGACACACTGCTGAAGTCACAACATAAAATATCGTCCTCATGGTGCACAGTTGTGCAGATTTTAGCAAAATCACAGGCATTTATGAAAAAGCTAAGGAGAAGCTGTTGACGAGAAAAAGAGAGAAGAAATTATATAGAAATACGAGAACAACTCCCCGAGTATTTTAGCGCTGAGAGGCAAGTTTGTTATCTTCCTCAATCCACTTTCTTAGTTTCGTCTCTGCAACACGATGACACACACGCCTTTAGCTCGTGTGCACCTTTTTGAAGTCACAGACCAGTCTCATGGCAAACTGCAATTTATAGAAGCCCTTTTCTGCTTTTATTTCGTGTAAAGCAAAACACTTCACACTAGAAATGCACTCACCACGTCGAAGAAGAACAATGGCTGATCAAAATTGGGATTCTTCTGTGTGTTCTTGATGACTGTTGAATGAACAACATGTCCACCGCACTCAAACTCGATGCTGGGTGAAGCTACACTTGCCAGCTGATACCTCTTCATGTTCCGTACGCCCCAGCATAGTACCTGCCAAGGAATCGAATATTGCACAGACCAATCAATAATCAAATAAATCAATGCTCCTTAGATAACCTTGTGAACCTTTAATCCTGGCCAAAAGTTTGGGGACGCACCTTTCTCTTGTATTATGAGAAAGTAATGTCCATTTTCCACTCACACAAGCAAACACTCTAAGATTTTGCCCCACACCTCCTGTCTACACCCTCCTCGGGATCTTTAAATTGCGTTTGATTTCGGGCACCCAACACTGTCCGTGGGGAAAGGAAAAAGCAAGGAATCGCAATTTACCCGCAAAAAGTGTTCTAAACGGTTTGGCCATGATTTTCGCTGGCCGAATAACACGGAGTCTCGCAACGGAAGAGCTCCAAAGGATGAAGTGGATATGAAAGCGAGCTTCGCACTACTGAACACTACTTAAGCAGTAGTGAAAATAAGGCCCTATTTTCGCTACTGCTCAAGTAGTGTTCGTTACTGCGAAGATCGTTTCATATCCACTTCTTAAGCCGCAGTTCACAAACATTATTTTCATATACTCACAGGCATTTAAAGGATAAAGTCATTGAAAGAAAAACTTTTCGAATATTTTTCGAATCTTTCTTTATTTTGAGTCCATCAGGAGAGATTTTAGAAGATAGTCATCTGTCGTATTTCATATGTTAGTCGTCGTGGATGTGTTATGACAATGATGTTGGTGTTCGACAATAATTTACGACATTTTGCTACAATAAGCTCAAGTCTAAGCTGGCTTCTCGATTGAGATATACCTCTATAGCTGTACGCTGCATAACAGGTCTGATTCCATTAGGCACAAGAAACAACGATCCTTTCATCGGTGGAGCAAATGGTAAATCTGCACCTTCGTCCTGGGTAAATGAAATCAGAAGACGAAAATATATCATCTTTCCATTGGTTTCACGTGTATAACAATGTCATTCTCACTGGTCCCGCATGTCTCAACAAAGAGACGAGGTCTAGTCCAATATTTTTGATACACAATAGTGTTCAAAGCTAATTCGAATCAACACAGACAGGTCTCAAAGAGAAGCTTCTCTCCGTTACTAACCAGTGAGGCAAAGCTCCGGACAAGCCACATTTTAATTCAGTCTTAAAGGGTAACTTCAAACAACGACTGATAATCCAAGCAGGGATAGATTTCTAGCCGGCTAAGCTCATGAAAGAGGCAAAGGACTGACGTGCTAAATGTGGGGTACGGGGGGCTGGGTTTGAGTCAAGACAACTGATATTAAACTCAGTAATGTGACCCAAACTTTTGTTACAAGCAAAACAAAGGGAAGGCATACCCGCCCAACCAACCCTCATATTTGGCCAATGTGCATGTTGTGCCCTCGACATTGAGCCATACACTAAACTGGACAGTGACGTTTTTGTCGACTTCCATATCTTCGATTAGCACCGTTTGTCAGTGTTCATTTAGGTTGTTCATACAGTGCTCTTGCATTCTTTTTGTGACAGATAAAAGGCGCTCATAGTATGAGAACTGATTTTGATTATGTGTTTCCTTAACCTTTCGTAAGGATAGAAAATGATTAACACAAAGTAGCACACCACACACAAAAGAGAAAAAAGAGGTAACTTTTAGTTTCACGCACCAAAAACAGCTCAAAGGCAGCCAGAATCTCGCCAGCTTCCTCTCCGCATCGTGTGACATCATACCACAACAGTCTTGGTGCTGGGGGCCCTTGTCCATTCATCTTCACCAGTGGTTTAATCACACATCGACCCATAAACTCGTCTTGACCCTTCAAGAAGAAACCGAAAAACTCAAAACTAAGTCATCGACCTTATTTTCTCCGCCTCTATAATCAATTTTCTCTGCTTTTAGGCGCATTCGATGACTAAAGAAAATTACAGGCTGTCAAGTCTACTGAAAACTCTTATCAAAAAAGTTCCGGCTAAATTGACCACACCAAAATGTCTACGTATCGTGAAAGGTCCCCTGCATCAGAATAGGGCTAACCTTCCTCGTTACTTTGCTTGTGTCGAAAGTAAACTTAGGTTGCATTTGTTTCCAAATAACCAACTCACCACTGGGTCCTTGTCAAACAGCTCGATGATGACTTCCGGTGGGTTATTTGCAACTTTGTCGATACTGCCATAAATCTGAACATTTTCAAATATCAGCGTTTGATCCCACGTAGGACAAATTGTCCGTGTAAGGATTTCTGTCACTTGGCTTTGGGTACCAAATGCAATTCGTGCATAAGGGTCTGAAAAATATATCGTAACGAAAAAAAGAGTTCACATTGCATCACGACGCAGTAGCGACTAAAATGAAAGATAGAGAAACACAGGCTGATTCTTGGGCGAGGTTAGGGAGTTAGACGCAACTGCTTAGCCATTCATCTGAAAATGCAGTTACACGAGCCAGTTTCTTTTAGTCCCAACACGAGTCCAAATGTATTTTGCTTTTTCGGAGTCAGGAATTAATCATCTGTCAACTGATATCTCAGACACGCGTTGAAAACGGACAAAGCCAAAAGAAAGTGGACAAAGGGCAAAAAGGGCAAAGCAGGAAGACCTTCATGACAGGAGAGTAGACAGGACTTAAGTGCGAAATAGTTTGAAGTCGATAGGTGAAGGAAAGTCAACTGGTCTGCAAATTAACTTAGCACAGATAAAAATGCATGCAGCGGCGATAAGACTTGAATGGTGTCAAGTCGTAGGGATCTCCTGTTCCACCAAGCACGAGGCTGATAGATACATGTACCAAGTAACAAACCAACATGAGTGCATTTTACCTGAGAAGCCATCGGCATCTGATGCCAATAGATCACGCGCTTGGTAAAGGTAGGCCCTCAGCTGGTACTTGTGCGGCTCTACAAATGAGATTAACGGCTGCGTTAATCCCTTATAAACACCTCATCCTCAGTTGACGAGAAAGGCAATTAAATATCACCATGACGTCCTAAAAGTCACCTGGTCCATGGCCAACAACGACTTTCGGCAAAGAGAATAGTTTATCTTTTTCAAGACTCATCCACCTTATTCCTTGTAAATTACGGGATGTCAACAAGTCAAGAACTTCTATCATGTCACACTTGTAATTTTAATGTGTTTTGTGCATCGGAGGACATACGTTAACTTAAGTAGTCATTGAAGCTACAACGAACGTTTTAACCTGAAAAAAAGAAATCTTCTCTGTTGCCTAATGCTGATGGTCTAGTACCAGGGTCAAATATCAAATTTCTTAAAACATTTTCTGATTTTCTACCGAGGAAACTCTACGAATTGCAAACAAGAACCAATTTCCTTACTGTCAAATGTTATGAACATTCTTGGCGCATTCATCATCGTCTCTTGTTCCTTATCCTGTGGGCAAGAAATAAAATTCACTTTAGGATGTAGCTGAGGCCACGATAATACTGAATAGGAAAACAGCCTTGTCGCATAGGAAACCACTCCCTTTAGGGGCGGGAATCTTTCTACAACGGCGACCTCTCAGCGATCCACACAAAATTTTCTCCTCTGTGTCTGAGAATATCTAGTCCTCAAAAACTGAATTTTGTTCAGAACGTGACTTACCAGAAAGGTAATTTATTTAATAGCCTTATTAGTGTTACTAAATGCGACTGAACAGGTACCAACCAAGCAGTGTCCATCTTACATCTCATCGAGTGAGGTGACTCGAACACGAGCAGTGAGGAAGTGACTAAGTGGTAGCCTATGTCACACACTACTTCTGACTGCGCCTTGTGTGACAGAAAAGACAGTTACACCATCAACGCCAATTTACATTAAAACTCACTCTATCCAGGGAAAAGGCAACAGCTAAGTAGGCCATAATATAAAAAAACACAGACTCTTACATCATCACCATCGCCGACATCAATATGGAAGACCGCGGGGGCACTGGGATCCTCTTGCACCATTTTTCTATGCCATCTTCTTCTCCGCACCAGATCCATTTTACGCTCCTTGGCATGAAACTTCATGGTGAACACTGGTGAATACTCCCACCCTTCCTTAGCGAGCTGTTCAGCTCGGATCTACATTGACAAAAGAGAAGCAATCAAACTAGGTTTCTGTCTGTATATAACACTACATTAACCACACAGTATATCGATGCCTAACAACCAGCAACTATGAGGTCATTGTTTCGTTTGCACTAGCCATGAATGGCCTGGGTGATAACCTGTCTTCAAGTTTAAAGTCATCCTATCACCTGTTCTTGTTCCATTTTAGCATCTGTCACTAACACTCTATTTCTGACCCATCTCCTTCGCCGACACAAGTGGTACGTCTTCTCCACGGGTCCATAACCACCAAATGTGGCTTCCACAGTGTACTCAAAACCTATCAAAAGATAATTGAAAGAGCAAAGCCAAAGTGTATAAGCTAAAACCTGGCTTTGGTTTTGCTAAGAACGTAAAACCATGAATTACCATCTTCATCCACGGCTCGGTTTAAGTCGACTGTCCAATCTGAGGTCCACTCCCATTCTTCTGGACACACTAACTCATCTCTGGCTGTCACAGCATCACCACGCTACGAAAGAAATCTTCTTGTAAATAGCAATTGAGAACTTGTACTTCGTAAATAAAAAGAAGGGAACGAATCAAAGGCGTCAAAGTTTTCAATGGTCGACATGTGCTTCAAAACTCTCTTAAGAGACGTAAGTGCTCTCTTAGGACTGACATTGCATGCAATCTTCTTCAGCATTACTTCATTACTTGACGCCCCAAGGTACGGCTTTGAAAGGTGATCGTGAAATTCACCTTTCACGCATACACCAAAAACAACGGAACATCGTTGTTGCAATTTGGTCAGCGAGTAACACAATAACACTTTAACATTTGTATGCTCGCGGTTGGGGGATTATTGAGGACTTTTTTATGGGTGGGGAAGATGGGAGAACCAAACTTGGATTCATAAACAGTTTTTTTTTTCAATTAGATCCTATATAGGCTGAGATATACTACAAGAATAGTATATTCTAAACACTACATAATGAGTCGAAACATGCGAACATGTCGTTGTAAGACCTTCAGATGGGAGGGGAGGGAGAGAACCTCTCGGACCATCCCCCTGGACACGCCACCGAAGGTTCAGGTTGCAACAGAACACTTACCACATCCGTCCAGGGCACAGAGGAAGGTCCCCAGCTGCCACCAGGGAGACGAGACTCGTTTTCAAACACATCTTCTAGAAAGCTCTTGTGACCACTGTCTCGGTCATAAGTCATGCTATTAATTTTAAAACAAAGACTATGAGGAAGTAGAACTAAAATCAAACCTCAGGAGACATTCATGGTGACTGTCAAGTTATGACGTCTTTAACAATCAAGAGATTGTCTGTAGATTAGGTACGTACACGAGAGATAGCGCGCATGTCTCCTCGAGTACACATTTTAGCTCGGCGTGCGAGCTGGCTGTAGAAAATCCCTTTGGTCTTTAAATTTCAATTTCAATTTCATTTTACAAATTAGCCAATCTCTTAAAAGAACTCTAACCTTGACATTGTAAGACTGACGTGGACATTTTTCGCGTACTTTTGTTGTTTGCTTTTACGGAGTATCGTTAGTTGTTTTTGAGCTTTCGTTCGCGAATTCTTTTCGTATTCACGCACGGCGCATGTGATTTTACAAATTAGCCAATCTCTTAAAAGAACTCTAACCTTGACATTGTAGGACTGACGAGGACATTTTTCGCGTACTTTTGTTGTTTGCTTTTACGGAGTATTGTTAGTTGTTTTTGAGCTTTCGTTCGGGAATTCATTTCGTATTCAAGCACGGCGCATGTGATTTTAAAAATTAGCCAATCTCTAAAAAAAGAACTCTAACCTTGACATTGTAAGACTGACGAGGACATTTTTCGCGTACTTATGTTGTTTGCTTTAACGGAGTATTGTTAGTTATTTTTGAGCTTTCGTTCGCGAATTTTTTTACTCCTTTGTTTAGAATTTTAAGAAGTTTTGGAGTTTTTATTTTAACCAAACGTTGTGGTTCATTTAAAAACTCTAATATTTATTTTCTACGGACTTTTGACTTGAACCTTATTTTTTCGTTAATGGATTTTTCCCACAGGCCCTTATAATAAGCGCTGTAGGATACGCGTTTCTCCTTTCGCGAAAAGACTGGAGACGAATCGGGGAGTGGATTACCGGGAGTCTTGCCCTCATCATCAGTACGAGACCCCTTTTAGACCTCTCGCCGGCTTAACCCTTTAAATCCTGGACGTGATTAGCATGAAACTTCTCTCTACCGTATCCATACATAATTCAGCAAACAGGTGATGAGAATACTCAAACTTATCAGGCATAAGTTGTTATCTTAATCTAACAGCAAATCCTTACAAATACTGTAATAGGGAATGTATAGCAGCTAAAGGGAAGAATGAAAAATCACATCTTGGGAGTTTAATGCTTGAGGCGTGAGCTTAAGGCCTTAGACTTTCCCGCGGGCGAAGAAACACTCATGCCGAAGCGCTTTTGATTGGGGCCTACTCAAAGGCATATTTTTGCCTCGATGAACACTTACACCTCGTACACCAGATAAATTTGATAACTACGTTTTACTTTTTCAAATTTAAACGTTTTGGTGTGAACGAGGCCTGAACCTTTTTAATCATTTCGCATCTCGTTTAGCGTAAATCTTTACCTTAGCTCTGGGTTCACGAACCAGTCCTCTTCAAAGCGCCAGCCGGGAGGAGTGACAAAATACTCCTTATACAATCTTAACTGAAATAAACCGAATTAAATTGTTATGGGGAGGAACAGTTGATCAGATTTTCAGAGCATTTCTGCAGAGTATAAACACCAACAGTCTGCAGACCTAAACTCTTTTCCACGGCCAATTTCATAATCAGAACTAACTAAAATATGCAATGTAGTTAACTGATTTAAAAATAGGACCTCTTCAAACTTTTTAATGTGTAGTTATCGATTACCGTTTTAAGTAACTTTCTAACTAAATGACTCCATATGAAATCTGAAGCTTCTTTACACATATAAAGTACCAATCCCCTACAGTCACCTTCTGTCCGGCAGACCATCGTCACCTCTCTTCTACCTACATATCTGCATATCCTGAGATACTGCACTCATATACCTGCTAAGACTCCAACACACAACTGCCTTAATCTCCCTGATAAAAGTAAATCGGTAAGTTAGGGCATTTTACTCAACAGTCATTACTTGAAATATTCAGTTAGCCATGACATTTCAACGGAGTCATGTAAAAAGTAAATAACCGAGAAATCTCTTTTCCAAATTTCAGTTAACTACCCAATCTACATTAAATCTTCAAAGGGCTGATGAATTTTCCGATAACAGGCTAATTACACTAAATTCGTTCCGAACGAAGCAACATCTAAAATAAATTTCTAGTAAGATTTGAAGCAATGATGAAAATACTTACATCTCCCCGTGGGTTTGACCAAGAAGGCCGAGGAAGTCCCTTGGAGGTCCAAGTACCAAGCACATTCATTTGATTCTCATACTAAATGAGAAGAGGATACAATGGGACAAATATGTATCACATATGTAACTAATCACTTCACACTGTTTGGTACTGTCAACCTTGCCATACAAAGTGACACTTTTTCAAACCATGATTCCACATTCAGAGCATCAGGTAATGGTAAGAACAAATTTCTAAAACGACTCTTCTCGAATATAGAAGTAAAAAATATGTATATAGTTATGAATGCTCAGTGCGCGCTAATCGGACCGAGAACCGACGTGCAAAAAGATCATATTATATCTCTCAGTCAGTATGAGCACTATGATTGGTCGATTTAGCAAGCTGTATTTCACTACAAGGCCCGCTAAACTCAAAAGTTTGTTTGTATTGAAATATTCTCCCTTTATTTAAACCCAGAGATAAAATAAAAATCTTACTAAACTCGTTTTCTCGGTCCCCACTGTTTTTCCGTTCGGATTTATGGCCTGCGCGCTTGGGCCATATATCTGAACGGAAAAAATTGGGTCTATAATTTAAAGTACAGACCTCGAACTCGGTTAATAAGAGGTATCTCTTCTTTAGGGAAAGTTTTAGTTTTAGTCGCCATTTTAGAGAAATGTGGATCAGCTCAATTGCAAAGTAATACAAAAGTCAAGACATGGTGAAAGTGAAAGGCTCCTACCGTCTCTGCGTAGACGCAGAAGTCTCCCTCTGTCTGTTCCCTGTTGGTCCAATCCTCCTGATGTTTCTCGAGCCCCAACCAGACTATCATTCGAACATGGGCAGGGACTTCTGGAAAGTCTTCAAGGTTCATTTGTTTCTTTCCTGGGTACTAATCAGACAGCGAAAGCATCGAAAACAGTTACAGCACGAAGTATGAAGTAATTAATCTTACCATAAAACAAAGACAGTTCATCTCCATAAGATCAAATATTTGACTCAACCCTTGACTTCATTGATACAAGTTACTGCTTTTTAACTTCAATGAATTACAAGTTTGTATTATTCTGTATGGGGTGCTTTTCGGTTGAGTGTCGTTAAACCAAAACTTGAACTGAAGGAAAATATCTTTTAGAGCCAATGAAAACTCAAAACTCAAAGTCAAAGCAAGGCAATTGCCTAAAGTGCGGGAAAACGCGGGTGACCAAATCGTGATTTGTTTCAGTTTTACATCTGATTGGTTGAGAGAGTGGCATAAGTTTTCTGGAGCGACAACAGAGCGAAGTTGAGCTTCACCAATGCACTCCTGGATTATTTTCTCTTCTACGAAAAGTCTAAGAAAGTTTAAGACCTCAGCTAGGAGCAGGCAACGCGACTTGCGGAACACCAGGAAACAGAGGAATCCAGTTGACGCCCTATGTGCTGCTTAGCATCTAAAGGGCTGATGATGATACATTATCTAACCTTCATGAACATATTGAGGACCTTGCCACAGTTCTGACCACAGGCATCAAACTGAGGTGAGAACAACACCTCATAAGCTGGGATACGGAACGAAGCAATTCGCTTGGTACCACTGATTAGCCATATTACCACATCCGGCATGCTGTTCTGGGGCTAAAGGAAAAACAACCACAAAGATGCGTCAACAACCAAGTATTGTATAACTTATACCAAATGCAACCCAGTGACTCAAACCATACAATTCACGAGGACACACCTCAACAGAAATATCTTTCAATCTCTGCATGTAACCCTCAATTTCTGCCATGGCTTCAGCAACATCCGTCGCACTTTCACGTAGCTTGGTTGCCTCCTCCATGATGGCCAGCTGTAACAAACCAGAGGTTGAGCGTAACCCTTTACACCCTAACATCAGCATACAGATTCTCCTTACTTTTCTCTGTACATATCTCATGGTACTGACAAGGAGAATTTGCTTAACAATCAAAAGCTCCTTCAGATATTGATCATTTCCATTATTTTTGTGACGTTAATATTTGATCAGTCACTCTTGGGAGATAAAGAGTTGACACTGAATAACAGACATGATCAGCAACACCGCCACGGGTTTAAAACTCCTACGAGATGGTAACGATTTTGTTTGAACCTCAAACATTAAGTTTGATTACCAATTGTCCAAAATAGCGAGGCGTTGAGAGCGAGACAAGTTTCCAAAGGAAAGATAACACAAATTTTGGCATAAAAGTTAACATAACTGTTTAAAATTCATAAAATATTTCGAAAGGGCGAAGTAATTAACCCATGAAAGTCGTGCAAGTTTGGCCAATGACACACTCCTGTCTGCCAAAGAGGTTTCAGAATTTTTCACAACGCACAAAATTTCAATGTGTACCTACAATGAGTGGCAAATATCTTGGAACGCTTTACAACTTTTTAAATTTTTTCTACAACTTTCATCTATCTCTTCCTCTATCCCATTTCAATGTTGCCTGGTGTTAGCCAAATGATCACCAATCTAAAGCAACATTGTTTGGGGAGAAAGATAGGACTGTTGAGTAACTTATTAGAAATGAATTATAAGACCTCTGTTTACTATGTTGAGTGGAGGATTGTCCACCAACTAAGGGGAGGCATGCCAAATACTCTTGCCACTCATTGTAGATGGTTATATAGGTTTCACATACACTTGCTTCTCTACCTGAAATAAGTAAAGTAACATGAACAAACCTTCTCCAAAATTCTTGTGTCTTGAATCTTAAGGTCTAACTCGTTGACACCAGGAGTGGAACTGTCAATCTTAGGTAGTGGTCTCCTACAGACAATAATAAAATTATCATTTCTTGTTCTTACTTTCCTAAGGAGTAGAAAATTGAACAGGCGTCTGAAGTGGCCGTGCAGCCTGGATATCAAGATAAAATCAAACGGGTTTACAAGTTGGAAAAGTATTTAAACAAACTAGGGAGACCAGTAAAACCCCCCTACTTTCACGCGTCACGTAATTGTAAATACACTCTCGAAATATGTCCCAAAGTTGGTTTTTCTCTACAGTTAACTGACGACAGGTGTTCAAAATTAGCTTTGAGAACTTGAATTACATTCCTCAACCAAATCATCCACACTATAAATCATTATATTTTCGCTGCATATTACACAGTTAGCAGACCTGGCCGTTAAGAAATTCTTTCTTTTCGATAAAACTTTCATGAGCTGACTTTGATGTGCTTTCTTAAGATAAAGGGGATCAAAATGATGATGTAAATTTGCCACCGTAAAGAGTTTCTAAAGCTGACGTTACGAGACGAAGCTTCGCCGACGCTCCTCTTACATAGTTAAATATATTATGTAGTGTCTCAGTGTTTGGTAACTTCTTTCAAATTGGACGGTTAAAGTTTCTTATTCATGACCACAGATCGTTCAGATCTGTCCGCAGCTGTACTTAAAATGGAACGCCCTGTGTACCTGCAATCATTGATCAGCTGATCTAACAAAGCTATCAAAAGTGAGGCTGTTTCGGCTGTTGGCGCATTTGCTTCCAGACTAAGCTGAACTTTCTCCATGTTCGTTTCCTGTTACAACGACAAAAACAAACGTCAAACCATTATTGGGTCTTTTAGGCCATTCCACCATATAAGGGAAAGATTCACAACAGGTTCACACCGCTTAGGCAGATGATTTCCTAAGGCGCTGAGTACTATAAGTACCATCACATTCGATGTTACACCATTTACACAGTTCGTCCAGTTACCTTGAAAGTTTGCCGATACTCATATCAAATTTACAAGAGAGGAAAAGCAAGAGAGGCGAGTCCTTAATAAAAGCACAATATCAAACTAATGTCCTATTTCCAATGAGCCAACGGTCGTGAGTTTTTCAGTGGAAGCGTTTTTTAAGGCCCGCCGAGGCAAAAAAGAAAAACTCTAGTCACTGCATAAACGTTTCATTTAACTTCACTGACATTTTCAGACCAAGATGCGTCGAAACTTTTAATCGTAGCCGTCAAATATTTCGGATTTTCTATAAAAATTTCAATTATCTCATGATCCACCTGTGGTTTCAAAGGTCAATAAAGCCATAACTTATCACCTAGTAGATATCTGTATCGATATTTATGGCCTTGACTCACCAATCGCTCACACATTCTAGTTAAGATATTCAAGTTGTCCAGTCTGAAGGAAATATCTTCCCAGTGACTATCCACGCACACACAAGGTTTGGTGTCTCCCCATGGAAGGTAATAGTAGTAGCAGCCATCGTAAACAGCGTTGGTGGGTGGAGTAGTGGAAGACGATGGAGGAACTGACTGATCAAGCTTGTTGCCATAATTTCCTAACAAAAAACGGTAATCACGTTTTAACAGCGCGCATTTAGATCGAGTCTTGTGTCACCAAGTAAATGCAACATCCAATAAAAGCAAAGGGAAGCATCACAAAGAGACAATAAGAACTCACAAGAAAACTGCCTGAAGCGCGGGAAAACGAGAGGGACCTAGTCGCCATTGGTTTCGGTCTTGAAACTGATTGGTCGAGAAACAGCGCAAAATTTTTAGTCCGGAGGACTCGCACCACTCTCCCCACCAACTAGATGTAAAATTAAAACCAATCACGACTTAGCCGCCCGCGTTTTCCCGTGCTTTAGACAGTTCAGTTGGTTTAACTTTGAGCTCTCATTGGCTCTTAAAGGTATTTTCCTTCCTTGTGATTGGTCGTTGTGATACTTTGGTTTTACGGTTCTCAATCGAATAGCACTCTAAAGAGAGGTAAAGCAAACCACCGACCCAATGAAACTCAATTCAAAATTGCAAAGTGGTGTAAATACCACAAAACTACTTCTAATGTAATGCCTAAAAGAAGAATGGAGAGTTTTACTGCATCCTTCGTCTAACAAAGATTTCTCGACCAACCTATGCTAACTTCAAACTCCAATGGTCCGTCTGTGGATGCTATCATGGTTGCCTCCAGGAAGCAGGCAAACAACTTAAACTTACGCCTGCGTAAGTACGGCTGAAGAGCACAACAAAATAAATAAGTAAACAATATTAACCCCTTACAACCCAACATCAGTGTGCATATTCTCCATACTGTTCTCTCTATATTTCCTAAAATGCTGACTTGGGGAACTTGTTTAACAATCAAGAGCTTCCTTAGTTGGTGATCATTTCCTTTAATCTCGTGACCTTAATATAAAATTCAAGGGTAATTTTTTAAGGAGAAATTAGATGCTAGTCACTCTAGGGGGTTAAAGGATCAAAAGCAAAAAACGACAAACGCTGTGATATGTCTTTCCTAGTGTTCAAAAGCTAGCATAAAACTCGAGTCAAGGGGTGTTCGAGTTACAAGAAAATTTGGTTTTAATGATCAACTGAGTTGATGATGTAAATTGGCCACCGAAAGAATTTCAAAGCTGGCTTTTCGAGTGCTAGCCCTTCGTCAAGGCGAAACGTCAGCGTTAGGAAATCTTTACGGTGGCAAGTTTACAATATCAACTCAGTTGATTAAACCAAATCATCTTGTAATATCCTCTACCGGAAATCTGATTCAATTTGAGTTAGCAGCGAGTTAACAGAGTTTTAGTTGGCGGAGTTCTACTGTATTAGCAAGAGTGAAGTATGAGAGGGCAATTTCTCATTGGCGGTCATCGAAACACTTTGTAAGAAATCATACGAAAACGAAAAATTACTTCTCCAAAGGTTTAATTTCTGAAGTACCTGTACTCGGATGATCTCATGACTTTGCAGGTCTTCGACAACCTCCTTTGATGACGGTCCCAGTTTGGTTTCCAGCTCCACTAACACCCTTCCTCTGTAAGCAACTCCTTCACCCTGAAATAGGATAATAAAAAAAAACGAACATGTAAATAGAGATATGCCACAAAACATGACTAAAAAGTAAATCTTCCTATAATTTGCTTAGTTCTGAAAGATATCGTGTTGTAAGTGAAACATCGAAAGTTTCAAATTTCCTTTGGTGGGACAAAAGGTATAACTTTAGAAAAAAAACATTGGCGCAAGGATGCTTTTACACTATGAAAGAGTACAAAGAGTCAACAAGAACACGCCGGGCCAGACCATTGTATATTTAACTCAGTTGTGGGATTTTTGCACAGATTTTTAATTCAAAAAGCATCTTAACGGAATATTCCACTACTTTGGTCATTACATGAGACGTACACAAACCAGAGATGGTGGGCAAAACCAAACTTTTTTTCAGGTCTGAACTATACATGTATTAAACACTTACAATTCCAAGATTCAAGTCATCGTATTCATCAGGCAAGTCGGAGTACTCTCTTGTCGAGCCATAGAAATTAATGTAACAAGGACCAAACAAAGGGAGAAAGCCTGCAGTAGAACAGAATTGTACCAAGGTTTGAGTATTCCTCAACAGAAGTAAGAATTCAAGTCACACGCACATACAAACATAGCAGTATCCTAAACACGGCTTTTATCCAAAAGGGTTCAACGGTTGGTCCTAGCTAAATGAAACTTGATTTTTTTGCTTTCATAATCTGACAACTGTATCAGGTTGATTCCAGCCAGGGAGTTTTATCAGTTCTTTACCTCTTTCTACTTTTGTGAGTCACTGTTTCTCAATAAGAAAGAATCATTAAAGAAAAGTGTTTCCAAAATGACGAAGCCTTGTGTGACATGTAGTTTTCTGAAGAAAAATCACGTTTCCCGCTGAGATTCAAACACCAGCTGGTAATTTATTTTTTCAACTCCAAAAACACTTAGGAAGTTCTAATTGAATTTCAAGGGACAGCATTCCTGACAAGAACAAAGTTGTACTCATTATCACAAAATGTAAAAAAAAAAAAAAAGGAAATCAGTAACTATACCATCATCGCCTTGTCCAGAAATAGCGGAAATTGGCAAATAAGCTGTTCCAATACAATCATCTGCTGTCAATCGATCCCTGCATGGAACATATATTTTAATTAAAAATTACAGTTGAAATCATGTAAATTAAGATTTCACAAGAGAAGTTTCATAAAGTGAAAATTCGGAATCAAACGTTCTCAAGGCATAAATTTGGACCATTTAAATTTCAATTGGGAGGGAAAGATGATTTATCGCACTGAGTCTTTGTGGAGCCTTACCAATCAAATATCTGAAGTTTTAGCCTCTCACACATTGAGGGGAACTGCGATAAAAAAGCAATAAATCCACATGGTCAATATACCAAAATCATCATGGGAATGAAATAAAACTGCATGCATAAAAGTAAATAATAAAATATTTAACGTTTTACACAACTCACCTTGAATTGTACATTGAGTTCTGTGTTGAACTCTGGATGATCTGAATTGTAATGTACTCTTGTCTTTGACTGTTCAGAAAAAAAATTGGCATTAATAAATCATACTGACATTACTTCATGTTCAAGCCTGGATTGAACAAGAACTAAAGGGAGAGGTAAGGGGCAGAATATTTCAACTGCTAAATCGTAAATTGTTCTACCATAACAAGTTAATTAAGAAGAGCTTAAGAATATATTGGTCCATCCTGATATTCAACAACAAATGTGAAAAAGTTCACCTTCCTTCCAGCAAAATTGAAGACAAGGTAGGGATCAACCAATTCTTTCTGTTCCTAAATAAGGCAAAAACAAACAACAATGTGCAACTGATTTAATACTTTATTAGAGTTACAACTGAAGAAATGTAATGTTAATTGGTAGCAAAGAGCATAAGAAAGTGTTGACTTTCAGCTGAGAAGAACAGAGAGATAGACCAATGGGCTAACAGACCAAGCACTTAAGCATCTACACAGGGATAAGGGACATGGGCCAATATTTATTATACTTGATACCCTAATATAGCATTGGCCAAGTTCAGTTTGTCAGCCAAACTACATGTAGCTACTAAATCCCTTGAGCACTACTCACACTTCCATGACTTGAAAAATTTTGCACCCCTGTATTAATGTGATTAAACCCTTTTCCCATAAGTACGAGTAGGAGATACAGTGGCCTGACAGTTAGCAAGCTGGACTGTTGGTTCAGGGATCCCATCTTAACCTAGCCAGGTCATTGTGTTGTGTTCTTGTGCAAGAAACGTAACTCTCACAGTGAGTTTTCTCAATTAAGAAGTGGAACCTGCATTCTGTCTCACTGTCAATGAAACCTAACTAATACTGGGAGGTGACCCATACTGGACTTACCAAGAAAATCCAGATAAGGTTCAGCGCCTTGTGAACCATGCACAGACTTACTTTTTACCTCATTTGCACAAGTTTAGTGAATTTATTTTGACATCTTTTGCTCTCCATATCCTTTATAACAGTTTATAAGATCCTACCCCTCCAAGAGCTTTTTGTCTTAACTATTCAATGGTAATATATATTAGAATCAAAGAATCTACACTGTACCTCACCAACATGAAGAACTTTCTTTACACCTTCAAAGAATCCAGAATCCACTGCAAAAGACAACATAACAATTTTATTCCAATGACAACTCAGAAGCTTGTTGTAGAGTTCTGAAGGCATTTTCCTCTTGATGTGGTTTTAGTTTTTGCAAGTAGCCATCCAGTCTTTAAATCAAAACACTCGGTCAAAAATATCAAAAGGAAGATGCTGCAAAGGTTGCAACAAAGGCAAACAGCATACTTCTAAGCTGCAAGGAGATCACCAATGACAACTAAGCTAAGGCCCAACAAAGCAAATTGAGCTAAAGTGCAAGCCCACAACCCTGTCAAAACCTTCCTGGAATTTCTAATTGACATGGGTAAAACCCCTGCAAATTCTTGGTTCTAAGCTGCCTCAAAATGTCACCAAAATATAAATGGCTAGGATATAAAATGAGCCCTGCAGTAAAATTGATAGCATAAGAGGAAGATTTCACATCAACAGTAAAAATATGATTAATTGATGGAAAATCAGTCAGAAAATTTACCACCTTCTATCATTTACCAGATTTCATATAAATGCAAGTGCAATAAAGACAATCACATTTATCTCAAACTGACAATGAAATGCTGGCACTTGTTTAGGGTTCCTTGCATTAGATTGATGACAAAAAAGTAAACAAATATTTAATTATATTTCTCTATCTTGTGACAATATATATGGTCCAGCAACAAATCATTAACAATATTCATGAAGCAGTACTTACTTTGAGGAATGTCTTCAGCTCTGTATACTTTCAGGGAGAAGACAGCTGGTCGTAACATCACACCAGAGGGCTGCAACAAGTTCCTAAAGGAGACATGCATTCACAATTTATTCTGCAGTAATTTAGAACAGTTTCAGTCTTGGAATTCTTAGGGTAAGAGTTCCTAGGTAAGACAAACAAAAGGTGGTTTATATTCTGCATAAAAAATGGATTGCAAAACACAAATTTTCCACAAATAATAATAAATTAATTAACAGCACTACAACTACTCACGATTCAATATCATCTGTGTCATTCTCTGTTGCACCTTTAGAGGAAGACTGCAAGAAAGAAAAAATACAACTTTTTGTTTAACCCATTAACTTTCAAGAGTGACCAAGATGCAATTTCTATTTCTTACACTATCATCAGAATATCAAGTAAAAAAAAATACCCGTAATGAAAATATTATGAGAAAATTATAAGTTGATCCAGAGCCAGATTCTCCAAACTAACATCAGAAGAATTGTATGACAGATAGAAAGGAAAATCACCAATGAGATCTACAAATGATTTCTTGCTAGTGATATAGTGTCTATTTACTCTATAACATACGATTGCATTTGAGGAATTAAGTATAAAATAGTGCTTACCGGAGCTTCATCACCAGGCCCCAAAACCATGACAGTTACTTTGAGATAACCCTGGTGGGAATGAATGAAAAGAATTAATAGGAATTAAATAATGATGACCAAAGACTAAAATGAATGAGCCAGCCTTAAAGAGAGTAAAATATGAGATGGTAACATCAAAGTTATCATAATTATCAACTACTAAAGGGATTTAATATTTAGTATTATAGAAATTTAACATCATGTATTTCACCTCAACAGACCACACTTTAAACTATTTTAAACCTATTTGAACCATTATTTTGTTTATGAAAATTCCTAGCATTTAACCTATAAAAACTATACATTAGTACCAGTTTACGAAAGAAACCAGCTGCAACTTCCATCAGTTCACCACCACAATAACCCACCCTTTTCTCAAGTTCTCCCAACATCCTAAGTGGGTTGTAACACTGGTAATCTGACACAAAGTACAGCAGTCTATTACTTTTTATTATAAATAAAACTTTAAATGTTTCAATTTTCTTTGGGTTTAAAGGTGCAGTAAACAATAGGTTTCTGACAAATCAAAATTAAGTTAGTACGTAAGTTTCTTTATGGAGCAAAATCAACAAATAACAGAAGAATGCATCATAATAATTGCCCTTTAGATATGTGCATGTTATAATTTTGGTATTAAATTCTAACAAAATTATATTCAAGTTTAATACCTCTGCTTTTTATGACAACAATCATAGATCAACCAGTACTTAACCATCATTATTGTATTGAAATTAATACCTTCAGTACATATAATCAATAAATTTAGTTAAACTCAAATACAATTATATGAAACTAATGATGAATCATTAATATAAAATTTTTAAAAAATGCAATTATGATGAAACATGTCTTTTAACAAAAAACTATAATTGTTATAAGTAAATTCAGTTCAGAAAGGTCACAATTACAAACTACTTCAAATTGAAAATCTTCTAAATCTCTCTTTATATTCTGAACACAAGAAATAAATGTTAACATGAACATTAACCATTACATCTCATTTTAATTGTGAGTATCAATAGACACAACTGAAAATTTTAACATTCACCTAAGATAATTCATGATTCCTTTTTGAGGAAGTTCCAAACTAATATTATCTCCTATTTAGGAAACCAGGTCTAAATAAGCGCTTAATTAAATCATTTACACTTAAGTGTCAGTTTTGACAAAGGTTATTAAATTAACCATTACAGTCTACATCAATATATCTATCTAGCCAGAGGTGTGCCAGTGAGTTCATTAAAAAATAATTAGTTGAATCAATGCAAGTTTAAACCAATCCTTTTATCATTATCATTATATTACTTCTCATTTTCTATCAATGATCACTTACCCACAAAACTTTCTCAAAAATTGTTCTAATTGATATTAAGTAATAATAAGATGCACATTAAAATGATAAAATGTATTTTATTTAGATAATATACTATCACTTTTAATTTTAAGGGAATTCCATACATGTAACTGATATTTATATTCACCATAATTTGTCAGATCAAAAATTGACATTAACTTGGATTTCCATAACAATTAACACTAAGTAGAGCACTTGCTCTATATTTGCTCTTTAAATATTTCATGTGGTATTTTCACTGCTCTTTCCGAAAAACTTCTCCTCCTCTGAAACTTCTGGTGCATATTAATGAAAATATTTTTGCCTTCCTTTGGTAAATTTGATGAAAATCATGGCGCACAAAATTTAAAATATCTGAAGCAAAAAGAATTCCTCAATATAATGGATGCCTATTATTTCAATTCAACAGTTAAAATTAATTTCAATTTCTAAAGGTCAATAGGCCCTCTAACTAGTTTAAAATTGACACTAGTTACATTCAGAACTACATTTTAACCTTCATTTTTGTCTCAAGTAAAAAATATATTCTATAAAATATATCACTTTTTTTAATTTTAATTCAAAATGTCCCACAATAATAATTTAAGTTTCAAAAATTTGTAAAAGAGATCATTTAAAACATTTTATTCACATAGCTTGTCACAGATGACTTTATGAAAAAAATAAATTGAAAAGAAGGTAAAAAGGAAATTGTACTGTATCATGCTGTCATAAACACAAATAGCAGGATATTTACTGCTGGAATTCCACCACTTCTCCGTCCAGATGCCCCACGTGATTTTCCTGTGTCAGGCTGCTCATCATCCTCATCTTCATCCTGACATTTTAAGTAGTCACTTACATAATAAGTGCAAGCATTAAAACTCACTGATACCACCTTACAGTAAAACACCTGATACATGGAAAGTAATATTTAACATATGAATGCTGTAGGCCAGTTATAAAATACACCATTTTCCTACAGCATACTCTGTTCATTTACACTTGTAAGCACTTCTAATAAATGGTGCATGTTGTTTCTTTTCAGTAAATTCTAAAAAGTATTCATCATCATAATTATTTGCTTCATTGTTTGATTGAAGAATTGAATCTGTGTGGCAGTTTGTCCCTCTTGACAATCCTCACATCTTTAAAGTGAGTAAGCTTGATACTTTGCGCACTAAATAACTCACAATCTGGAAAGTCAAGTGGAGTCAAAAATTTTCCCCTAAGCCTTGTGAGAATCATTATTATGAGTACCCTTGCCTTTAATACATGAACATATAAATCAACACCAGTACACAACAATTTTAAAACCATACTTATTTGTACACGTTTCATTCAGTGAATGATGTATATTATATAATGCATGCAATCAAGATATATCTAAATATTAGATGTTGAAAAAAAAATAAGATAAAGAACTAAAATCTTTTTTAGTTTCTCAAAGCAGAAGCCAACAATGTGCAAAATCTCCAACCCTGCCCACTTCAATTATTGGTATTTTTCTAACTTTGTGTAATTATGCCTTAATATCAATTGATATATACTTTTACATATCTTTATTGCTATCTTTAACTATTTGCTGATATAAGCAAAACTTAAAAACTTCTGCAGAATTCTTATAAACAAATTACTTTGAAGCACTGCAGTGTATTGTAAGAAGTCAAATTACTTGAATTCTATTTTCCTTTAACAACATCTGAATCTCCTCAGTAGAATACAGATAAACAAGTATAAACAAGTAAGAAAATTTTCATTTGATTAATAGATGTTCATACATTCCATTCTGTGTGTATTTACCAATAAATTAGCATATGTTGTTAATCACCACCAGTGTCATGACTATTACAATTTTTCAATCCATGTTTCATTACACAGTCCTACATTTGATTTCCATGAACTACAGGCAGGTCCTGTGACATGGAATGAGTTTGTATTCTGATCTATATTATAAAGAGTACAGCAAGTTATGCACAGTCACTGCAACTTGGTCCTTGTGTACCAAACCTTAAGATGATTAACTCTTTTCCTCCAATCTACATCTAACACTCAAAATGTCAGACTTCTAATACTCATTAAGTTTGTTTATCTACATTGTACCTTTATCTACTCCTATAGATAACAATAATTAAAAATAGATGTAAGAAAAATTTACCTGCTTACTGAAACAAACAACAATTTCCTAAGAAGCTGAAGAGTAAAAGTTTGCTTTGTATTCAAAATAGCCTTTTACACGTGTCCACAGCTTTCTTTTCTTACCTTAACCCCAGCCATCTTGTCATCAGGATCAGTGAGTAGAACCCATTTCCGTACAACAGCATGGGCTGTGAAAACAAGAATAGTGAAGAATTATTGACAAAAGCAATTTTATTACAAACCACACTTCCCCTGTCTGTTAAGTTAGTTAAAAAGAGGGATTCCCTAATTATGAAAATAGAAGGGTGCATTTCCAACAATGCTAAAACTTTACTGATGAGCACTTTTCAACCTTGCAATTTCAATTGACCTTTGAAAGAAATCGTGGATTGTATTGGTTTGTTTCACTGCACTCTGGGAATGGTAAAGAAATCTCACATCCCCTTTTGCTCAGATGAAAACTAAAACCAATTGGGACTTGGTCACCAACAACTTAGGCGGTTTGTTAGTTTTTACTCTGAAAGCCTCTGTGTGATATCCATAGACATCCAGGATTAAATGAAATTTTTTAAACAGTTATACCATTTGTGCCAACTTGGCACTATGCACCTCATTAGCTATTTACCATTTCATATCTAATTTTTTCTGATTGGCTATGGTTTTGATTTTAAGACATTTCATTATCAAATATACTATTTCGTATTTAATCAACACTTGTATGATAAGAATAATTGTAATTATCACAATGATAAAATTATTTTTTTATCAAGATAGGTACTTACACGGCTCATCGTAGAAAAAACCAATGTCACTCTAAAGAAGAGAAAGAAAATTTAGTGCATTCATGGTTTACAAATATTTTTTCATTACCTTCTTAAAATTGGAAATTAAATTCTAATTCATTTCTCTCCTTTCCTACTGCCTAATTTCAATCATATGAAAAAGTGCAAATTTTCCTTGGAAAAAACTGTTTAAACTCAGAATAACACTTATTCACATTTAACTGCCATGCAGCTAATAATAATTAAAATTAAGTTTCTGTATTGAACCAATCTAGTTTTTAAAATTCAGAACCCTCATGTGGAACACAACTGTGCAATATTATGGGAGTCTCATTGTCAAAAATACAGCAGTTAATCAGCATATTTTACAGTCACCGATATCAGTCTTTTGGAGTACTATATTCAAGATGATCAGAAGACATGATCAACTGTACATGTACATAGTAGGTACATCATACTGTTCTTTATTGATATAGAAGTGAAGACTCAGCCTACCTTAAAGTAACCAATCATGGCATTGGCTCTCAGTTTTCTTGAATTAAAAACCTGTTGAAGTTACAATTACATGAAAAAATTGACATCAAAAAAGGCTATCTCACATTTTAAGTATTCTTCAATCACTGATACTTGGATATGACAGCTCTGCAGTTTTATCTTATTTTCCAACCATTTGTAAATAACTCACCTCAAAGCTGATTATTTCATCAAATAATTCCAATGGTGACATTTGAAAATTGAAGAAAAATGTCTGAGAGAAAACATAAGAGAATAAACTAAATAAATTTAAATTAAATACAATTGCGAAGCACAAGGAGGTTTTGTATTATAAAAAGTGAAAATTGATCATTAAATTCTTGTTCCTTACATGAGGATACAAAGTGTAAAAGGAAGCTGTAAACATTCATGTTCCAAGTTTCATTGACAACATTGTGAAACAAAAACTTGAAACACCAAGTACCCATATGTCAGCTTATTCTAAATACAGCGTGTAATACTAGATATAAATGAATCTGAGAAAAGTAGTAAAGCTCACCTCATCATAGAAGGGCTTGTTTGTTGAATGTTTAACTTTTGTCTGGCGAGTATGGTTAGCAACTAGAACTCTTACAACAGGACTTATGTTGGAGCCTGACAGCTGGCGACCCTCCATGATTCGTACACGAACCTGAAACAGTTTGACATATGTGTTAAATCTTACTTTTCCTCCAGATGCAACTGCCATCAAATACACTCCTCTATCAGCAGAACATCCCAGTAAGCAATCCAGACTGAATATTTAAACTAGAATGGTTCTGATGGCATTTGTACTTACATACCCAATGTACATGGAAAAATCAATGCTCTAATTTAATTTAAATTTTTAACCTACAGTGTACATCTTCTCTTATTTTATTTGTCTAGAGTATATCCTTGAGAAATATTCCTCAAGAAATAGATATGTTTCCTATAGCTTCAAAAATTTCTTATACATCAAATTATTTTGAATGTTAATCAACACTCAATTCTTTATTACACAGAGTCCAAACTAATTTTCTGGTATATTGGACCACTATTGATAAAACATTACCACTGACTAATGTAACCATTTGGTGAAACCTGAATGTGATAATTCTTACCTGAAAGTCTTGAGGTTTGTTGGACAACTTGTGCCTGGCAGTTCTTCTCCTTCTACGCTTTTTCCTGTGAAATGTAAGGAAGCACTATAAATAATTGTTCATAAATAACAATTAATACTGAAATAAGATGCAAGAGTGAAAAAAGGTAGAAGCTACAAGGGACATGTTCAGTCGCCTGCATCATATAGCTAAACAAGTCCTTGCATCAAGTTTCCTGAATTTAATGCTTTCACAATAAAGAAAGAAGTCTGCAGCTGTTTCTCTACTATTTAGATTCTCTTTAGTTTGACTGTTGTGCTGAGATTGTGTTGAAATTCACAAATTACATGCTGATAATAAATAGCTGTGAAGACTTCGGGAGCCAAGGACTGTGCTATGCAGGTTCAGTTAATGTCTGTAACAACTGCCTTGCCTCTTAAAATTCTATCTCCAAGCTTTCAGTAAAGCACACTGTCATGAGTTACAAGCCTGACTTAAAACTACAAAATTCACCTTACTGTCTGCCATATAGTTCTTATGATACTAGTTTAGAGAATTTGGTATTGTATCAACTTACAACCCCCTAATTAATATTTTTTTATTCTTTATTCTCATCACTTGTCTGCTTGATATTGTATGGATATTGTAAGGAGAAATTCTGTCTTGGTCACTCATGGGAGTTAAAGGGTTGAGTTTATAATTACCTGACTGCATCATTCACACCCTCAGCACCTCCTCCTTCCACATCATCCATGCCTTCTTCTTCCAATCCAAATTCATCACCTTGCTCTGTACCCAGATCTGTTTCATCTGTTGGTATGATGTCTCCTTCAACCCCCTTGGCTGGTTTGGGAGGAATATACTCCAAACGCAGAGACAACTTTGCCTGCATAAATAAGAAAGACAAAAAATTAATTCCACCCACAAAATTGGTAAACTACATCTGTTTATTAATCAAATTTTCTTTACAAGATGTCTCAAGAATACAGTCACCATGATGTAAAAGCGATTACATTTCGAGATTACTACTTGAGAATAAAGATAGAGGAGCAAGTTTTAGGATTGAGCTGTGCACAATAGACGAGGGAGGAAGAGGAGAGCTTATTTCAGTGATCAAAAAAAGTTTTAAAAACCTCACCAAAGAGAGGGGAAATTGCATTAAGTAAATGACTGATAATTAATATCAACTGATTGCAACTGCTGACAGCCTTGACTTTCCAAATATAGATCTTCCAAGAAAATGTAGAGATAGTACAATAGTACATATATTTTTTGATTTACCATCTCTTGAAAAAAATGCCAAAAGAATCAAAGAAATGATACAAGTGAGTATAAAATCGGTCACCTCCCATAAAATAATTATTTGCTTATCCTGCTGAACAAGTCTATATTTATTGGTAATAATGATAAAGATTTGAAACAATTATTTTTATTGCTGATATATCTGACTGAACTTTTCTCTTCCCTTTCCAGTCCCAATCTCTTGCCTCTTGAGATATTACCCCCCTCCCCCTCCCCAAGACCTCATTACAAGTTCTTAACAAAGTGCTTATAATGCAAAACAAACACTCACCTGTGTCATCCTGTTACTACCATCTAGCAGATTGACATCAGCCTGCATGGTATGGCTACTGTCCTTGACAAGGTCTTTCAGGGGGACGGTGGCCGTGCCAAGAAGCCTTACATAAAATAAGTTGTTTAAAGAGAGGTCATGACCGATAAAAATTACCTTTACCTTGAAATCAAACTGGAAACTTAACCAGATTTAGAAGGAGCTAGTCACACCCAAGAACTACCACTTTCCCTTCAATATACAAGTACACAGTTAAATTAAATTTTTAAGAACCCTTTGAATCAAACTTTTGAGATCAAATAAAATATCTCCTTCTTTGTTCTTGAAAAAAGGTATTTCCATTAGGCTCAGAGCTCTATACAGAATGGATTCCCTTGCCCTATAATTTTGCCTGATGAGTTATTTCACATTAGTATTTGGAAATTTCATTGTTGTTTACTTTACCATCTATGTGATTTTTAATAAAAGCAAGGGAACCACTAGTCAGCATTTCGCACACTTAGGGGAATATTGAGAGGGAAGATGTCTTTGTCCTGTTCCACACCTTACATGTTATTGCTGTGCTGATTGACATTCAAGAATTAAATTTGACTTCAGCACAGTAGTAGAACAATGCTCTAGAAAATTAATTTTTGCAAAGGGAATTGATATTGGCCAAACTTTATAACATGGTTATGTGACAGTGGTGTGGTGTGACCTACACTCCCATTAATTAATTTGACATTTCAAAACCACTGCAGTGTTTATGCTACTACCAGCTCAAATTAATCTTAGTAGAAGCAACATGTTTGGAATAGGCCAAGGACTTGCATAGTTATTCTATTATTCCCCCTTAATCAACAGTCCTGATAATTGCTTAACCCTTACTGCCTGCCATACTGTTCTTGTGATGTTAGTTTGGAGAATTTGATATTGGATCAACTCAATCTCCTAACTGATATTTTTCTTTGTTCTCATTACTTGTCTGCTTGATATTATATAGATTTTGTTAGGGGAAATTCTGTCTTGGTCACTCCTGGGAGTTAAAGGGTTAACTATTAGGCCATTCCAGTGTGGGTGCCACCTGATACCCTTGAGAAACCTTAATTATGGGCTACTTAGAGGTTAACCTTATTACAACAGAGTATTTATTTATCATAACACATGGGTGAAAATTCTTCTATTTCAACCATAAATAATTTTGAAATTTGAAGTGGACATGTATATAATGCCCAAGGAACTCACAAATTTCTTAATTCAGATTTCAGAAGTGAATTTTTATCCAAAACACATGCCTTCTATAAAGGTTATTCATATCAATAGGTCATATCAAATAATGCTCTTTTAGATAAGAAAAAAAAGCACATGCTAAAAATTTATCTCAGTGAGAATAGTATAAATAGCAATTGCTGCCAGACAGTTTTAGGTGGTTTTGTACCTTACTAAAGGACCCTTATCCTTACGAAAGTGAAAAAAAATCAAATATAAATGACAAATCTGATTAAATATTAATTCCACAATTTTTCCAAGCACCCTGTCAGGTTTAGCCATTAATGACAAATTGAGAGATGTTTGATCTCAATAATTATTTCTGACAGCTCTCCGTCATAGTTTATGCAAACAGATTATTCACATTTCAGGTTTATTTCATTCAGACTTAAAACGCAAGAATTCACGAAATTCTCCTTCCTTTTTTTTCTGCTAGAATTTATCAGTCGTATTACATGGAAAACTTTTATCAAAGTTCTCTTTCTGCGTAATTAACCTTACGAAAAAAATTCCCACTTGTGAAAAGTAGGTTTGAATAAATTATGAGCCGAACAATATCGTCAATATGAGGGCGGTTTAATCGTGGGAACCGCCGTAACGTGATTCTTAAAAATAGCAATCAAGATTAACTGAAAACGTTAAATGTTGCATCGAAAATGTTTTTCCTACCGAAGGTTATTAAAAATATCACAGCTGCTGCGATAGTTTTTAAAATTATACACAACAGAAAAAAAATTGATTGCCGAGAATAAACAAAACTTTAAAATATGCTAATTTTTCTCTTCATATGACGGAAAGCGAAAACGCCAATCACCTGGGAGATAAAAAAGAAAGAAGGCAAAAAACTAAAGCGACTGATTAAGTCTACAGTGCATCGAAAAATAAATCATAAAGATTTAATTTCTTTTTACTGACGCGAAATACCGTCCATCGTGTCCAAATTACCTCAATCCCCGTGACATTTTTTTAAAACTTCGAAAGGCTTCTGTTCGACACGAAACTTATAAATGTATTCGATATTTTTTATTCGATTTACACCTTGTCTCGATCGCGGCGAATGCTCGCAGATAGAAATTGCGACTAACGCTTCGCTGTTTTTAAACCAAAGACTACCGAACAGCATGCCATCAATAAAACTCCTGAAGGCTCATTACAAAGTCTATGTAAGCCATGGCACTGATCCAACGAAAATGATAATTCGATCGACTTAAAAGTTCACGCAATACTCCCTCCAAACCGCGGGTTTTTCCGCGAAACGATCTTCTATAAATAGAAACAGTGATAGACTGCTTCGCTGATTTCTAGGTTTCTTGTGGTAGAGATAGCCTTGAAGCTCGATTATTTCGGCAAAATAAAAGAAAAACAACGAGATCCAAGTGATAAATAGGCGAAACTTCAAAATCGTGAAAAACGATTTTAACACATATTTATTTTAACTCGTGAAAATTCTGAGTATCAGACTCCGTTTGTTCTCGGAACTTCCTGTGATATTAAAAATCGCCTCAATTTTAACCAGTTAATACGAAGTCTTGATCTCAATCAAAATGGTTGACTGGGAATAAGTAATATATGCCGTAGAAATAAAGAAGTTGGTAAACTTCCTGTCATAACTTTAAAAAGATAGGCTTGATAAAAATTGACTACAAAAGCTCAGGTTAACCGCAAAGGCAGAAAAATATCAGGTTAGAAAACTAAAATATGTGATTCGACGCGATAAAATAGAGTTATAAAATTTCTTACAAAGAAAAGAAAACTCTGTAAGAAAATATCACCAGGAAATAACGCCAGGATAATATTAATAATAAACACTAACCGATTTCTTCCGATGCGTTCCCAATCCTTGACATGAACGATCAAATTTTCCTCTACAGAAAGTGGCTGAGTGCCTAAATCCCATTCAAATTTCTGTTAAACACAAAAGAAACAAAATATTAAAAATTTAAAATGAAAATTGCACTCTAAATTTATTTTATCCACAGTAAAAATTCGTGCGGCCATTAATAACACATTAGCGGTTCTCCCGTCCTTAGGTCGTCAAAAAGTAACCAGTGCTACCTCGTTCCACACTGGGTTCAGCTCATCTTTAATCACTTCTGTCTTTTTCTTTACCCCTGAAAATTAACCAAAGAATTGGCTTAACTTCTTGTTAAAATGCGTCAATGCAATGTAAAACAACTTACAAAAGCGAATCGCCCCACCTCAAGCAAAATGTTAAAATAACACTGACTGTTAATACACAACTCAAAAATACGGAAAGTACAAACCTTGGAAAGTAAGAACGACATAAGGGTCGCTCTTTCCAATGGTCTCTACATTGGGCAAATTAACAGCACTGCTTACGGCAACCCGAAGCATTTTGGCTAGCTTAAGTGTTCAGATTTTGACTTTTTGAGCTTCATTCATTCATATTTCATTCAACCGCGGCCATCATGCAAAACATGTTGCCCTGAGATAAGATACAGCGCTTCATGCATGATGGGATAACAATAGAAATGCATAACTTATCATAAATTATTCATACATATCTATTGAAGAAAAAACATCAAATAAAGATAATCAAATCTTTTGTTTTGAGTGGTCGCTTTGTAAGATTATTGAACGGCAAACAAAGAAGTCAACAGAGCAGATAAATAGCTTTCTGGAATTGGTGAAGTGGAGGACACAGAGAGTTTCTGAACTTCGAAGGATACTGAACTTATTGTGTAAACATTCTGATTTCGATCTTATTTGAAAGTATTTTGGGCAGTTCTTTGCCCTTATGATTAAACACGGGTCCGTTTACGAAGAAATTCCCCCGAAATTAACACGCCCAAGAAAATTCTTGAAGTTTTGAGAAGAATTTTTGCACCGAATAAAACAAAAGCAAAGGATTAATCTAACGCGATTAATGTTCGAGTAAAACAGAACACTCCCCAGAGAGTCCATGATTTGCAAGGAAATCTCTTGTTTAAAGCAAACTTGTCGTCCCTGCCCTCAACAAATAATCCCTACTTCATAGGGAGCAAATGTAATCCACGATTCTGCTCCTTGCAAAAACAAAAAAACTAAAATAATGAATCGGTTTACTTGTTCGAATGTTATCACGTTTACCTTGAAATTCCAAACTGGCGTACGGGTCACTTTTTCCTTTGCCTTTCTTGTCGACGGCAGGCAAGTTGGTTGCCTTTATCTCCCTCAATATTAGGAAAGGCATTTTATCTTCTTTGGGATTAACCTAAAGCGTTTTTCTTACATTCAGAACTAGCTTCACTGCCGAAGAAGATTGCCAGCCGTTTGGACCAACACCCGGAAAATTGAAGTGTGATACTTGGTGAACCTCAGCCGTCACGGAGTATCGTCTTTCTGACACATTCTTGCGAGAGAACTCAACGCCTCGAAAGTTGATGAACCGTGACTATTAAGCATGTTACACGTTACGTGTTCTCTCAAGAATAATCTTCAAATGATTGTAAAACCCTGCAAAAATTTCTAGTAAGAACAATATCCTCGTTAACTCTCTCTTCATACAGAGGCAAAACAAAGACTCTTGTGGCCCTGTTTACGTTTGTTTTCTAACAGATTCTGGACTAATTTGAGCTCATTTCCGCTCAGCAGGATTTCATACGAGAAGAAACACCGTCACACAATCTCCCAACCTTCGATCTCAGACTACCTAAGAGAGGGAGGGTCGGGGAGATACGAGACCCATAGGAAAAAATAGAACGAGAGAGAGTGGGAGAGAGAAAATTTCAGTACTCCTCTTCCATCTGCCTTTCACTTCGGGTTACGTCTCTCGTCCACCAATCGACATTTATATCTACATTACGGGATTTGCAGTTATCATATAAATGGTAGCTGGTGCAAATGATAAGTGAAGCCATGTTAAAATCCTTTTCAGCACTGACGTTTCACTGATCGCGCTCCGTTAAGTATTCCTGATTAAAGATCCATTCCTTTTTATAAGAAGAAGGGAGTTTTGATTACGCATATGTAATAATTATGTAAAAGTTGACAACGACGACGGTACGTGCAGCGTAGGCAGGAACGTCTGGCATAGGGAAGTTATCAGATTTCTTGGTACATATCCTACTCAGGCTCCTACCCACCCCCCCGCCTCTTAATTAACGCCTGTAAAAGACCTCTGTATATTTAAATCTTCCACAAAGCTGTTCTCCTTCTTCCTTATTCCGTTTTTTTTTTCATAACTTTTCAATGTCATAAGTTATTATCAATGTGCAGTAATTTTCGAGTCCAGCCATTTTAGATTGTCATTAGCTATCTACGGGATAAAAAAAAACTGTAACTTTTATCTTAAGAATAAAAAAATAAAAATTGTTGTAGTCTTTATGTATATGTAGTCATACCCTCCCCCACAAGTAGAAACGTTATACAGCCACACGAAGGCTAAGATTGTTGTTGTTGTTGTCGTAGAATGTATAACAGATGGGAAGGGGGGAATTATACCTTCTTTCCGAATTTCTTTCTTGGAGTTTTGATGGAAAAGATGCTCTCATAAAAGGCAGCAATTATTTTCGTTTTCTGAAAGGAGGGTTTTTTTTCTTTGCTATGAGAGACAATATCTTAAAAAAGGATTTTAGACCCAAAAGGTATCAGATCTTGTTGGTAAGTTTATTATTGGTAGATCTTAACAGCTAAATTTATATGGATAAAAACTAATCAATTGTTTTCGTTAAAACGATTCTAAAACATATGTCTAGCCTTTGACGCGGCGAATCTATTTATCGAGATAAAACAATACCCCTCGTATACTTTGCAGGGCTCTCAAAACTTTCATTGGCAAAAGTTAGGAAAACTTGACCAAGACTAAACCTTGACTGGCGTATTTGAGGCTCTCCAATCATTTCCTACACTCCCAAAGGCATCAAATACCAGGCAGTAATGGTTTCTACAACTGTAAAAAAATCCCGTAAAAAGTTTTCTTGATCGGAACGGAAGTTTTCGACTTGATGTCGACTTAGACAAAGTTCTGAAATTCAGACAAGGTGCTCGCAAGGAGTGCTGCTGGGCGATGAGACTAGACAGTGCACGCAATGTTGTTATTGTTATTGTGGAATATACAATCTCAAGTGACATATTTACAAGACACCAACAAGAGAAATAATGGAACTATTATTTTCTCTTGGACACCAACTTTTCCTTAATCTTGATAGAACAACACCCCTTAATAATGGAGCCAACGACAATTATGAAGACGTTGTGTATTATGAACTAACTCACACTAGTGTTCTATCTCTATCAGTCGTTTTCTTCTAAGATCAAGACAACTAAACTTTCTCGTACTTAGCGAGCAACGAGGACTCGTAATCGTGCGACCACCTCTCTAGTAGAAATTTCTTTCTGGGCCATTCCTCCTCTGGTTTAAAATTCACGATGGCAGCCAAATCAGTTATTTGTGAAGAAATACTAAGCGTCGCCTCGCCAAAAATACGTTTGCACTGCAGGCTATTCGTGGTCTTTGGAGTAGGGGTAGATAGGGGTATACAATTCGCCAATTCGCCAAATCAATCAATTCAAAACAATGCAGAATGTTGAAATTGAGAGGACTAATAATTAAATAAGTAGCCAAATCTTTTTTCGTAGAATTGGAAATGATTTCAAAATCTCAGTCTGTTAGATACGAACCCTGGTCTTAGGCAATGTGTAAGGCTTACAACGGGGCGTTATCTCGCCGCGCACCTTCATTCCCAGGCGTCATACGGCGCCTGGGCTTGCTTGATTTTTTTTCAAATACGCACTACGGATTTAGCTGGGAATAATAATACTCAAGGTCCAGGGAGGTCTGGGCAACATTAGACTTGCTAAATTAATTAAACCAAAATGTAACGGTCTTCATTCGACTTGACGTCGAATATCTTGGAAAAAAATATTGAAATGAAATATAATTGCACTTACATTATTTGAATACTCCACAACAAGGCTATTAGGTCAAGGAATCCAGCAGCACAATCTCTTCCCATGCTGAGAGGAACTAGCCTTAAGTCTGCTCTTTATTTCGCGTATTTGGATGAGGGGAATGGAACTTTTTACGTCTTATCAGTGAGATTTTACGATGAGAAAAAAAAAAAACGCTACAAAGGTTTGCAACATGAGTGAAATAAATATGTACGAAACCTACGCTTTTCTTTGCTGCAATAAATCGCCGTTATTTACCTCGGTAAATAAGCAATTGAAGAACTAATGAGATAAGTAGCGCTGATTCAACATGATTGGCTACGGTCTAAGGTGACATAAAACTGTGATTAAAAGCAATTTATCGTGTGCAATTTTTACAGCTTGAGTGAAAAAATACTATTTTGAAGGTGGTGGCGAACTACTAACTGTAATTAAACGTCTCCTTAAGCTAAAAAAAAACTTTTAAAAATAAATGTTCGTGATTTTCAAAGTGAAATGGACAGTTTCCTTTCTTTTGGCACAGCAAAAAATCACGGCCTAAAGCAAATGAAAAACAAAAGATTTAAATCAATGAATGTGCTTAATTGGAAAAAGGGTCCGTCATTGTTCCTATTAAAATAGAATCCGCTGGCTAAATTTGATTCGTATTACGAAGCCATTTTAACCATTTTGGTTTAGAATGATGTGTGACTTTTGCGGCATTCAAATCAGTTAGTCTTTGAACATTGAAACTTCTGCTTTACAGAATGCATCTTTCGAATTCAGCGACGTAGTTCAAATAACTCTTAGAGACTCGAAAAGTGAAGAGCAAATGTTGAAGCTTAGGGTTCCTCTTAACGGTGCTGTGGTGAAAATCCTTTGAATGACAGTTGGCGTGAAGGTCAAGGAAAGAAAGGCTCTTCAGAGATTTCACCTTTTCACACGGGAGATAGGGAACATCGCAACATTACCCGAAAGAGCGACGGAAACAGAAGAGGCAACGTCTTAGCAAAGAGCCTTGGCCTCCGAAAGGAAAGCAGGTATTTCTTTACATATATCTTTGCACTTTGGATAATTTTATAGAGAACGAGACTTGATGTCCACCTTTGTAACTCATTCTCGCAAAAAAAAAAAACAACAACAACAACATTGGGCAGGCATCATGATACTATTCGACAAGTTTTCGTAAAAATATCATGCGTTTCCGACCCCCCCAATTTTTTTTGCCACTAAAAAAAAATTCATAAAACTTAATTAAAATGTGACAAGAGGTAATCATAATTGTTCGTAATTATCAACTGATCATAGGAAACCAAATTTTTTTTTGATGGTTGGGGAAAGATTTTCAAAACTTATAAATCACGGAGAATTTTTCTCAGATAATAGCTACCAACTAGCTGATCTAAAATTCTTTTCCAACGTTTGGCATCATATTCCTGTTTTCATACTGAATCCAACATAGATGCATCGTGCCGATTTTCTGGAAGAAAATTATGACGTCTTTCCTATACTGCACGGTCTATATGCAGCGTGTGCCACAAGCACAATACTTCCATTTTTTAGCATTTTATCACATGGCCGGAGACGCATATCACGCACACTTATATAGCGATTATCGGTAAGCACTATCAAATGTGACCACGTCAAACTTCTTAGATTACCATGGCATTTCCAAGTACGGTCAAATAAAGCAAAGTATTTGAACGTTGAACCCTTTTCAAAGATTTTCTATATAGACTATACATTGTGCTTTGTAGAAACTATTGACGGATCGTGACACCATAAGAAGCTCCTTTTTCCTCAACGGCTGTCACGCAACGCTTCACTCTCTTCGAGGTTAGGTGGGGGAATGGAATAAGCGTTGCGTAACATACCGACGTAAAGCTGTGAAGGAGACAGTGGGCTGTTCGGTCCAATTTGTAATAAACTTTATGGGCCAAACCAGGAGGAATGCTGCTTGATCAACATTATTTAACTGTATTGTAAACAAGGTCTGAACTTGAAGGTTTAGGACCGATGAACAGAACGAGGACAGCCTGGTTGTTTAATGTCTTTTTCGAGGCTAATAATGCAGAGTTCGATGCGTGACTAGACTAACCGACGGGTGCAAAGGATATTATTGCTTGTTCCCAGTCTTATCATTTCAGGAACTTAAAACAACAGTCACTACTTATGTTGAAATGTTAACGGGTTGCAATAAAGAACCAAATTTGGATATATCACGACATCTTCGTTGAATGGCAATTTTTTTTGGTGAGTTTTCATTTTCTTTTTTTCTTCTTGGAGATAAGTAATGTGATTACGCCAAGGTATTTATTGACAAATTCAAAAAATATTTATGCCATGAACGCTGTGCTGTATAAACCCCTGCTAGGAGAATTTATAACTATTATCTTCATCATCGTTGTTTCTATCATCATCATCATTATTATTATTGTTGTTGTTATTAATGTCATTATACTACTCTATTATTATCACTATTACCATTGTTATCATTTATATTATTATCATTTAAAAAAAAGTGAAATGGAAGACGTTAATAAGAAAAAGACATGTTGACTATAGAAGAACGTAGGAGACTTCATGTTGCGTGACAGCAGTGTATCTACTACCCAGTGACAGGTGTTTAAAATATATCTTACTATCAAGAGACAATGAACTTTAGCTACAGGAATTGATGGACTCTTTCTAATTATCACCTAGCAGCAACCAATCACATTATCTAATGAACTAGCATAAAATCCATGAAAATCAAGCGTCCTTTTTCATGTGAAAAGGGTCATTCTTGCACATCTGTTGTACAGAGTGAATACTTCAAAGTGAGCCAATAGATTAAATAATTAGACAAACGACTACTGATTGTTTCTTACTTGTAGTTCAGTAAACTTAGTGAACGGAGCTAAGTTCTCGACAAGAAATTAAAATTAGATAAATCGATACAGCAGACACCCTGTAATTAATCCTTCGAATTATGCCTGATCTTTGAGTCTGTAAGGTAAGTTTTTAAAAAATGTATTATGACTGGTTGATGGTTGCTTCTCCTTGAAGATTCTCAAAATATAGAAAACTGTAACATTCAGTTACCAACAGTAGTCTCGTACCCAGATCTTCCACGGCCAAGCGGTGTCAGTTATGGTTAAACGATAGGAGTTAGGTAGGAGATTATTAGGATCCCTGAGAGACCTGTCATTCTTTATCACCTCGGGGGGTGGATTTTGGGGAATCACCTGATTTTCAGGGGTAAGAGAGGGGAATCATTCGTCCCTAGCAGAGTTTGAAATAGTATAAAGACTGATGGTCACCATAATATTTCACATAATTTGCTTGAGAATATTCACAGGCACTGTAGCGATCATTCTGCATTTGTTCCGTCACCTGGGGTGGCTAAAAACGGTTCCGTTACAGTCTTTTTTAATTATTTGATGAGTCGATACCTCTTTGATTTTTCGTCTTAGTCATTTCCTTTTCACATGAAAGGGTTCCACCGCCCGTTAAAACCCGTTCGGGTTACGGGCACATGAAACTAAATTAAAGCGGAGATGCCATGGTGACCTGCCGCTCCGCTAGAAATTTCTCAACTCGTTCAGTGTAGTGATGATTGGGCAATGGTGTTGTGCCGTCTCTGCAGTACTTAACAAAAATGGTGATAATCATTCCTGATTCCTAATTCATTTATTAAAGTCTATTGAAATCGTCTTACGCCTAATTTAGGCAGTGCGTGTGAGCCGGGGTGTCAGTCAAACGCGCGTGAGAAACTAGCATGACAAACCTAAGGAGGTTTCCTAAAGTGCCAGGATAGCTTGATTATTCCGCTCTCGGTCATCTCGTTTCCTATATTTTTTCCTTTTTTTTTTTTAACTCAGTCAGACTGAATAAGGAAATAAAACAGGATAATCTCGGTTATTTGTTTTACATGATTCTCACTTGCTTAAATATTTTAATGAATCCCTTTACTTCCTAAAGAAAGTGCCCCTTTGTACGCTTTTATTTTATCCTATTTCCGCTTTCTTAGTTCTGCCGACGCTCTTCGAAAAAAAAATGAAAAAAAAGAATAAATTTAACGGAATTAATAGTAGTCCCTTCAACGCTAATTTACGGACTGTGCGTCGATGTGATATTCCTTAAAAACCACTTTTACCTGCACCTTAGTTCTAATTGTTTCAGAGGTCACCCTTGTGTTCAGTATTGTCTTATTTTTAAACAGACAAAAGCAATATTCAGACTACTAATGAGACTTTCAGACGAGCAAATAATTACAAAAGGAACTAGATATTCATCAGCAATTTTTCTAAAATTCATCAGAAAAATTAAATCAAGAAAATTTGCTCAGACAAGAAAATAAAAGTATTTACTGCTAAAATTCAATTTTCGGAAAATTGATGCCGGGACTAATATATAAAAGCTTTTTCGCTTTAAAAATTCCTTCTGCAGATTAGATTGAAAGCCGTTTCCCTAACAATTCGTTTCCTGCAATTTCATTAAATGTCAGATAAGTGTAATCGTTTTATTCTATTTTTTTCCTCTTAAAATTTACATCGTTAATCTCGCATCATTTCAGTGAGGAAACAGTGGATCTATTCCATCTATAGAGTGAGCCGGTTATTTTGATAATGACGTCATTACTGTGTAGAGTTGTCAAGGGTGGTGTACTGGAGCGAACCTGCTCTCGATAAACATCTTAAACAGCTCGGCCCAAACACTCGATTCCAAATTACTCTGCAGGGTACAGAAGGCAGGCACGCGAAGAGGCAAAACATTGAATGAAATCCGTCACTGTAATTATTATTTTCCTTCATTATATCCAGCAGGGATACTTCTTTAACTTGAGGGAAGGCACAGACTTGATAAAAAAATATAGATATCTATAACAAATCCACCAATCAGAAGCCTCGTTTGTGTTTCGGTTCATGACAGCCATATTACTGTGGGTGGTTTCCTACTATCCATTTTATTTCCCATGATTTGGTCCTAGTTATGGAACTAGAGAATATTGTAGCTAACACTGTTTATTTAAAAGCCAGAGAAAGTGAGTATAACCTCGAATTTTGCAGTTAATAGGTCACCTTGCGGTGGATGAAAGCTCGCAAATGTTTCGAACACTTTTCTGCTCGTCGAGTTCGTGCATTCGAACTGAAGTGTCACACAGGACTCTATTCTAATATTTTGAACGTGTTTCTCCGTGTTGCAGGTAAAACTAAAGGCAGAAGTAAAAAATGGAAAGAACTACTGAAATTTCCGCATCATACTATATCTGCAGCTATTAAGAACGATGGTAAGCTTTCATGTTGAGTTCTTCTGACGGTAGAATGCAGGTTTTCGTTATGAGCTGTTCGCCTGATCATATTCTAGGTTAAAATGGCTCGTAAATTCAGTAAGGTAGACTATTCGTGCGTTTCCTCCCTACAGTTGTCCTCACGTATGACAGAATTTGTGAGAAGGAACCCATTGGGAGAGAACTCTTTCGGTTATTTTGCGCTGGCGATGCTCCACTTCAGCAAGCCATCGACTTCCTCGATGAAGTGGTAAGCAGAAAATCTCGCATGTTTGTTGGTACCTCGCTTTGCAATTGCATGGACAGTCTTGCGTAATTCGCGGACGCTCTCAATTATGCTGCGGAAGCTTTGATAAACGAATCATTGTTTTTTGTCTTGTTCTCAAATTAGGACGTATTCGATAAAGCAGAAGCAGCGAAAAAGCCCGAGTTGGCTCGTCAACTGGTAGCAAGACATCTTCCCGAGGATTCGGTAAGCAGCGAACTTGGGTTACTAAGGACATGTTCTTCTCTTTTATTTATTCGGGCGGAATTTGTCGCTCATTGCAGATAATTTAGATCGTTAACGGTTCTGTTGGTTGGAATCACGGCAATAACTTTAAAGTTCTTTACGTATATCATGACCGTCTGGTTTATTCTCGATGGCCCTCGATAAAATTCTATTGCTTCTGTGATCTGCGAATTGAATTACCCATTAAAATTAGGGTAAAAGTAAATGATTAGAATTCCAAGTTGACTTACAGCACTTCTTGCGCGTTAATGAAGAGAATCATTTATAATTTAAGGTCACACTGAAATCACATTTCACCTTGTTGTGTTGTTTCGTGTCGAACCAGATAGCATCACGATTGATTATTCGTCAGTGTCTCTGCATGATCTCTCTTGCCCAAAATACGATGTATATACAATCCATGATGATTTAATTTATAAATATTGAAACCCTAGTGGCTTGACAGCTCCCCAATCTACTACAAGCCTTTCATATTTTATTTAATTTCTCTACACCCAACTGTGTTCGTAGAGCTCTTAAATCGCAGGAAATATCTAACCAAAATAACTGTAGTTGGCCGAAAGCGAGTTGTAGATCTTGTCTTAGCACATCTACCTGTAATTTATCGTTGCAAATTTCTACTGTTTACTTTTCTTTAATGGAAGATTTGCTATCTTTTATGTGCTCTTGATATTGATCACCAACTATTGTAGATCTTGTAAACCCAAAAGAAATTGTAATGCTAGAAACCGGCTCTGAACTGTTTTTCCGCAGACACTGTTTTTGGTGTGAATTTTGTTACGCTCTTATCATTGAGAGATCAAGGGATCTGCTTATTGCTAGTGTTTTTTTTTTTAGAAACTTGGTGTATCGTCTGTAACACGAATTGGTTGAAACTTACCAACCCCTCTCTCACTTAAAAAAAATTTGGTGTTTCAAAGATCCAGCTAATTTAAACATGTTAGCACAACACATTGCCTGAATATTTTTTGACACTGTCTATGTACGCATTGCGAGTCTTGCTTTACGATTGCAGCTGCCTTTTCCTTGTTAGCTTTTGCATGAACCCAGGGTAGTGCAGTTAAACAGATAAATGGTTATACCTCTAATTTGTTGCAAGAACTACCAAAAGACTTATATCAATAATTAAATGTTTAGACTGGAAAATATACACGAATTTATTTGTAGGAAACTGTAGTCTTTTAGAGAATGTTCTCCATTGTATGGCAAAAGGAAAGAAATTCTCCTAACATTTATAGTGCTGCCATATATATAATTGTTGGTTTTTTTTTTAGATTTAATTACATTCAGAAGATGAAATTGTGCAATGAATTGATTTGAAGTTATTTTGCTACAAATTTGTAAAGTGTTTTTTAAATACATTGTATATTTCTTGAGCAGTGACATGCAAGGTAAAGAAAAATTACTCCATGAAACTGTTCTTGATATTATTATAGGCGCTTTACTCTTTTTTGTGCTGTGTTTATCTTTTGGTGTGTGGGATACTAAAAGCAAAATTTGTTATTGTCATGCTTCAAGAAATTTTATTAATTTTGATACTATAGTTGTTTTGAATTCAAAACAAATTATATGTAAAGTACCCTTCTAGTGGTCAACTAGAAAATATAAATGGGAAGGTTTTTGGTCACTGTTTAGAGCTATAAAGAAAAATTAGCTCAAAGTATAAACAAATATTATTAGTTACTGACATACATTAACTTTGTCCCACATGGCGTGAGCTATCAGAGCCTTATCTTAACCCAATTTCCTCACATCTTTATATGGAAAATCAGTGATGGATGTCTTGAAAATTTTTCTGTCTCTAATAAATTAGATTACTAAAACCAAACATTTTTATTCATTGCATATGGATCACTTTTATGAATAAAAAGATTTGGAAGAATTGTTTTTTTGCTAATCAGATCTCTTTAAATATTGGTAATCATTCTTGACACAGCCCCATACACATCCTTGTTTTTCAGAAATTCTAAAACATCTGAGAATGGGAAATTTCAGCTGCCCAAAAATCTCTGTTTATTCTATCTATCAAACTTATACCCTCCAGGGAGGAGGAGGGGAAAAGTGTTCAAGACAGAAACTTATTTGTGATTGTGATACCTCCACCTTGCGTGTATCTGATTCTGACAAGCATGTTCAAATGGACCATTGACAAGGAGGTTATGAAATATTTTCAGTATCACTGCTAATAGGACTGTG